CTCGGTCTCGCAGTAGTCGCCCGTGAAGCCGGGCGGGCAGCGGCAGCGCAGGCCGGTGATGGGGTGGATGGGCCGGAAGAGCACGGTGGTGGAGCTGACGAAGGGCGCCGAGCTGTCGAAGCGCAGCACCGACACGCACTTCATGTAGTTCTCGCACGGCTCGCGTAGGCAGATGTTGTCGTCGAAGGGCAGCACGCGCTGGGCGGAGATGGTGGCGAGCAGCGTGCGGTTCAGGTAGATCTGCTCCTGCAGGTCCTCGGACGGGAAGAAGCGGCCGCGCACACCGCCGGGCAGCAGCGCCGAGAAGGTCACGTTCAGGATGTTGGAGCTGACGTCCGTGTCATTCTGGATGTTGAAGACGAAGACGTCGTCCTTGGTCGTGGACAGCACCGTGGCCACCCCCTCCACGAACAGGGACAGCAGCGGGGAGAGGAACCTCTCCTGAGACATGTTCTCCAGGCGCACGGTGATGCTGTTGGTCAGCATGTCGTCCGTGATGATGGTGACACGCAGGGTGCACAGGGCCGTGATGCTGTGGATGCCGTCTGCAGGACACAGGGGCAGTAGGGTCACTCAGATGTCTGGGGAGTCACGGCACCGCTCCCCGGTCCCGTCTGACGGCCATCTGGCCTCCTAGCACAACCCCCATCTCGGCCCTCTCTTCAAGAGGCCCTTAGGGACCCCAAACCACAGCGACCACCCTGCTTCAGCCCAAAGCTCCCCGGCCGGGTGCCCTCACCTGCCTCCTCGACCCCTGCCCGGGAGGCTGCTCCTGCCTCAGACCTGAGAGGCGCTTGCCACGGCTGGGTGAACTGCCCCATGCTGCCCCCACACAGCTGCCTGTGTGCTCTGCCCCCCAGTTTCTGCAGGGCTAGGCCCCTACAGGCAAAGACAATCTCTGGCCCTCTGGGTGCTGCCCAGGACCCTCTCCCCACTAGATTTTGGGACGTGGTGAAAAAGTTTTGGGTCCATTTAGAGGACGCTGTCAGGTGACAAAACCTGGAGGCCCCTTTGTCTTGCCAACCCCAGCGTGGACCTGACAAGGTAACCCAGGATGCACTGAGCCCCGGGAGCAGCAGAAGCTCCTGATCCTGAGGCCACTCCTCTCCAGCACCCAGAGCCACGGCTGTTCCCAGGAGGGACTTCGGGTCACCTAACTTGGCCACACCGCAAAGAAACGTCACCTCTCCACAGCTGGGTACTCCGGTCATCACGGCCAGGGTGGGAACCCACCAGACCCCGCATCAACAGATGGGCAAATGCAGAGGGAGAGAGGCCAAGTGCTCTACCCCGAGTGTGTTCCCGGCTCCCGTCACTTAGAGAAACCAAGCCATGTACCCAACTCAATGGCTCCTGGGTCCTTGTACGACCTGCGAGGCTGAGTGTAGAACAGAGAGCAGTGTGTGCGCAGCCTCGACCTGGGAGGCCCCAGCTAAGCCTCAGACTCACACTCTGCCCATAGCCTCCAGAGCAGCAGGGTGTGGGGACTCCTGGCTCCCGACCACCCAGAGACAAAGAGTGAGAACCATGGGCCAGTGGTCACTGTGAGGAACAAGGAAGCGCAAACACAGGGAGAACTGAACAGGCCACGGGCGCGGTGGTGCCAACCTCAAGGATGGCTGCCCCTTCCTTCCCTGGCATGGGAGAGCCACGCCCATCCAGAGGTGGCTTTTATCCCTGCCCTCCGTCCAAGAGCTGGACCCGAGACTGCTTCATCCCACAGTGTGGCAGGAGAGACAGGCGGATTCACAGTTCTGCCTCCTTCCTCCTGGTGCCTGGAGGCCATGTGGAGGAAACCACGTGGGGAAAACAAGACACTCCTGTCCAGAGCCACGGCTCAGTGAGGTCCCAGGCTGCCCTTGCCTGGCTCTTGCAGTGAGGACCCAGCACTAGGGATGCAGGGACGATCGATCGACAAACCCCACTTGTTCCTGCACAGAGCTGCGTGATCTGACTTTATTCTCATGTTTCTACCTGTCTCTGCCCCCAGTCCCCGAGGAATGAGAACCTGTGGGTCTGGTTCCCGCTGCGACGGTCCCACCTAGAGCCACTGCCGGCACCCAGTGGCTGCTGGGTAAACATCTGTGGAAGGGGACCGTGGGAAGGGCACAGATGGAGGCGTCCCCGGCGGCTTCCCCACTGAAACAGCAGCACTGAGGCTGTTTTCCCATGCAAGCTACTTTTTTTGATAGCTGTTTGGTTTTTCTTTGCAAACGTCCATTACAATAGCACAAGTCGGATGCTGTGTGCTTCCTGGAGGCAACTGTTACAAAACGTCCTTTTATCTTTTTGCGGGGGAGGGGATCAAGCTCAGGACCTTGCGCTTACAAGGCAGCCACAGTGCCATGGAGCTAAATCCCAGCCCAACATCCTTTTCACCTTAAACCACATGTGCAGTCATCTGCTCTGACCTCAGATGCAAAGGCTGTACTGATTCTAAGCTAAACCCCAGGCCTTCTTGGGATACCCTGGGGGGGTCCCCAGGACCTAGCCCTCACATGGGCAGCCCAGAGGAGCTGGACTAAGCTGGAACAAGGAACTCCGTTCTAGAAATGCATGCGGTCACACAGGGACAAAGCAACGATGTGACCAGAAAACGGTATTAAATATTAACTAGCCCTGTACTAGAAAACACAGCACACGCCCTGCTAGTGACCCCCACATTAACTTCTCTGAAGACCAGGACTGTCCTGGACCCCAGGTTCCGGTTCACAATGAATCTGAATCAGCTGCAGTCGGATGGGGTGGTTTCTTCGGGACACAGACCCAAGCAGCCTTGGAGGCCCGGCTGACACAAAGCACAGCCCGCCCAGGTCAACACACAGGGCAGGACAATGGCCACCTCCCGCTGTTATGGGGACAGACTCAGATAACAGGGCATTAGAAGGAAAAACACTTTCACACAAAGCAAACGAACACTTGCACGTGAGTCCAGGGAACCACAGGCACATTTTCCTCAGTGTGGACCATGGTCCTGTTTGCACCAATGAGATTTTATCTCTATTCACTTATTCATTTATGGGTTGGGGGATTGAATCCCGGGTCTTTGTACTGAGACCTGAGAACGCTTCCTCCCACGGTGTGGCAGAAGGGACAGGTGGATTCCCTGTTCAGGCGTCATGAGAACCAGAAGTTCTGCCTGTGGGGCTGGGCTACATTTCCAGTCATTTTTGAATTTTTGATTTGGAGGCAGTCTCACTAAGTTACACAAGCGGGGCTCCAACTTTCAACCCTCTTGCCTCCGTCTCCCCGGACACTGCAATTACAGACAGTCATTTGCCACCACGCCCAGCCATCAATGGTTTTGTTTTTAAAAAATTAACCTTTCACTTCAGAACAGAGTTACAGAAAACTTGGGCAGACCCTGGAGAGTCCCACAGACCACACACCCAGGGTCCATCTCATCAACAGGACTGCACTCACGTAGGACACTGAATGCCGACACATTCTTCAAAACCCACACCCAGCTCAGCTGCCTCAGTTTCTTCCACTGTCCCTCTCCTTCCCAGGTGACACTGGCCACCACTCTCGGTGTCTGCAGACCTGGCAGTTTGAGGGACTCTGCTCAGGTCTTCGGGGGAACAGGAAGGGGATCTGTGCTTCCTCCTGACGCCTCCTCTGTGTGTTAGTTTCTGCAGGAGTACGGGCCATTCACAGAAGCCACAGAAGCCCGTTCAACTGGATGTCGCTAGGGGCCACGTGGCTTGTGACCCACCTGCATTCAGGGGCATCTTCCAAGGCTGCAAGGATGGTGCCGGGGACCAGCAGCCCCCACAGCTCCGCAGCACTCAAAACCAGGAAAGATGGGTCCCCACACTGTCCCCCAGACAGCGAGAAGCAGGTAACACAGGTGGCACAGCAGGTGCATCCAGGGGGTGCCCACAGCAGGGGATCTGTTCCAGCCTGGTCTACACAGGGTGGGGCACGTATGACCCTCGGATGTGTGTTAGGGCTGGGTAGGGAGGTGAGGGGTGGCCCCGGTGCAGGAGAGGCAGGAGATGGAGCTGCAGTGCAGGACCTGGTGGCAGGTGACCTAGCCCTGGGTTGGGGGCATTGGGGCCAGCTCTGGGCCACCCCAAAGCAGGGGGAGGTGGGGCCCAGGATGGGGGGAGTTTGCAGCACAAAAGGCAGCTCATGCAGGAGGGTGCTGGTCTCCTCAGCAGTCACACTGAGCACTTACAACAGACATCTGGCCTCTTGGTTCTGGGGCCAGGAGCCTGTAGTCCAGAGTTGGCTGGGCAGGAACCCACTGCGGGCCCGAGGCAGGATCTGTCCCTCTCCCCTCCCCCGGGCCTGGTCTCACCGGCTCTCCTTGTCATCCTGGGTTATGTGGTATCTGTGTGTCTGTTTGTTCTCCTTAAAAGGACACTGGACACAGATGAGGATTCGTCCAAAGCCAGCACTGTGTCACTGCAATGCTCATGCTGACATCTAGTAGGACCCTGTTTCCAAACAACATCTCACTCTGAGGCTCCTGGTGGATCTGAATTTGGGGGACGCCATTCAATCCAGGGCAGGGGGAATGTGGAACGAGCAGAGGCCAGAGCCATAGAGGTGGGGTGTGAGGTCCCCCAGTGGCTGGTGCCTCCTTGAGGGCTCCTGGCCCTGCAGGTCCTGGCCAGCTCTTCATGACCCGGGCAGGGAGGACTCCTGGCTGCCCCCCTTCAAGCCAGGTGACTATGCTGATGTGATTTTGCTCTCCACAGGGCAGGCATGGTTTCTCAGGCCAGACTGAAGCCGGATGACATGTGTGACATTTGGCTCCTGGCTTCCTCTTTTCTGGTTAGCAAACGCTGAATTCAAACCCACATCTCCCAAGTCTCAGTTCCTGTCACAGACTCAAGGTGACAGGAGTGTGTGGGTGGGATGAACGCTGGTGGGCGAGGGCCGCTGCTCCTCCACCCCATCCTACCCAGAAGGAGGAGGGCACAGGACGGGACAGCCACACCGGAGTTGGGTCTCTGACGCCCCAGGTGTCATGGAACAACCAGGCTGATCTCGCTGGGTCGGGGACAAATCATGTTTATCCTGTGGCCAAGCTGCCAGTACCAAAGGGGCAACAGGGCTCTGCCTGGTGCCAGGGGGTACAAGGGCCAGAGCCAACTACCCTTCACCCACCCCCACCCTGCCCCTTCTCCTGCTGCCTTGAGGCTCTCCTTGTCTGGACCCAGGTACACACCTGAAAATTTCCCCGCTGCTGCAGCTGCCAGGGGGTGGGGGGCCACAGGGCGGGTCTCAGGCAGCCAGCGCCAGCCCCACCTCCCTGGCTCAGGCCTCAGCCCCAGAGCCTCCTCTCGTGACGCCCCAGGCTCCGGGTCACAGTATGGTCTGTGGCCGTCAGCTTCCTGCACCCACATCAATTCCAGGCCTCCCCGCTGCACCCCCGGCCCCTCCTCCACCTGTACCCATCTCTGCACCTGTCCCCAGCACCAGTTTCCATGGGAGCCACTTGGTGTTTCCCTGCCAGGGGCCTCTCCTAGTCCCCAGCCTGAGCCCAGCAGCTGTTACAGCCCATGCTAGACATTGTGAAAACAAATACTCCTCA